TTATATATTTACATATTGTCTGTAACTGTTTTAGCACTATAATAGCAGAGTTGAGTAGTTGTGACAAAGACTGTATGTCCTACAAAACTATTAATATTTACTTTCTTGCCTTTGGGAAAAAGTTTGCTACTTCTGCTCAATAATATCATTTTAAATTTTCTCTATAATACAATATAAAATTATTTCTCTCTGTACTTTGTGACTAACGTTCCATTCCATTTGTGTCCATCATGTGAACCTTCTCCCACCTCCACGTGGACCACCAAGAGGGCCTGAGGTGCGCACACTACCATGTGTCTGGCTCCTTTATTTTATTCTCTCTCTTAGCCTTCCTATCTTCTATGACTTTACTATGATCTTTATATATTACAATGGTACAATTGTGCCTACAGACCCTTTGGTTGTTAGAGGCTGATATCCTCTGACATTGGGTTCTGCCACTCCTAGGACCTCTCATTTTAATATGTCTGGTTTCGCTGTTTTCAAATTTTTTCTTGCAGAAAAGTATACCAATCAGACCAGCAAGGAGCTATATATGGCTGGATTCCAACCCATAAAGCACTTATTGGACTCTGCTGAAACAGGACAATTTTAGGTTGTTAATTGTCTATGTCCAGCACGACGAAATTACATATTCACCCATATTCCATATTCTTCCATATTCCATATTATTAAAACGCAGGAATAAAGGATCCAGCAGTAACGCTGTGGTTCTCAGTCATAGCCGGCATCTCTAACCCATTCTCCATCCCCACCTAGCGTAACATGACACCCTGACTTCCCCAGACTTCTCACAGAAACCTCCCCCTCTCTTCACTGTTCTGCTGGTGCCACCGCCAATGGGGGGAAGTGCAGGCTCCTTCTAGACATAATAATTTATTTCTGTCCCCAAAGTTTATTTGGGATTCCTTTGTTCACTCTCTCCGACTTTCTTCGCCTTCTCGCGTGGGCGCACATCAGTCCCTCTGTCTCTTCCTCTCTCTAGCCCTCCCTTTCTTACTTTCAGCTATTCTCTCTTTACTCTGTCTTCAAATTTCCCCTCACTCTGATCCCTTGACTCTCTTACCATTCTAAACACTTCTAATAAACCTGTTAACTAAAACCCACGCTCTGGGTCCACTTTCCTTTTATTCCCACTCTAACTGAAAATAAGCAATTAGCCATAGGGATGGCATGTTAAGAAGTTATCAAAGGGGCATCAGGTGTGGCTGGGGTCATCGCTGGAAGCTGGGGACTGAAGGGACGTCTGGGTGGGCACAGCTGTGAATCCTCAGCTCTGAGAACTCAACAAAAATCCAGTGGAAGGCTTTTCAGCAGGTTTGTGAGGGACCAGCTTCCCTAAACTGAATGGGTGCTAAGGGGCAGTTGTGTAATTGAAGGGTAAATTAAAAAGACACCAGACAAGATAAAGCATGTGTAAGCGCTCACCTTCACCGTCATGACTTCAGGAGTCAGGGCTACGCAGAGAGCTTGTACTTTAATCTCACAAGCTTACATAATCTGGACACGCAGACCACCGTGAGCACATAGGTAACAGGAAGGGGTTGTACAATAGAAAATACACAAAACAGGAGGGGGACAAGCTTGAGGTATACACGCAATAGGAAGGGGAGGCACTACGAACATACATGTGACAGGAAGGCACAAATGTAACAAGATGGGAAAGTTCTAGAATCAAAAGGGCAGCCTAACCTTGGTCATCTGACCTTAGGTTGACTTAACCTTGGGTGTCTTTGGGTTCTCCTTCAGGGGAACAATCCAGTATCCTTATCAGGTGGGACAGTCCTATTCAGGGTGGGACAGACAACAGGGTATGAATGCTTTAGATGGCTGACAACCTTCAAGCAATTGACATCCAAGGGTTTAGTCAATGACCATGTGTTTGCAAACATCACCTTGAATTTGGCATTATGATGGGGGGCCATTGTGGCGAATAACTTTCACTTAGGAGAATGTGAGTGGGACACATCTCCAACCCACAATGTGAAGGTTTCCTCCCTGAAAGCCTTGGCCTCCCAGACTCCTTAATGTATGAATGTTGAGAGTTTGTTCTCATACACTCTCTTCCAGGTTCTGTTTCCCACACAGGTTTAATAGATGACAATGATATTTATTGATGGTAACTCTATTATTGGTCCTCCAGACACACTTTATGAAGGTGGTGTTTTTATGGCTCATCTCACTTTCCCAAAAGATTATCCCCAGCTCAAGGACGACCAAGGTTAGGCTGCCATCTTGAATCTAGGAGCCACCCATCTTGTCACATGTGTACCCCAATCCCTCCCCTTCCTATTGCATGTACACCCCAAGATTGCCCCCTTCCAATTGCTTGTATTGACAATGGCACTCCCTTCCTGTTAGGTATGTGGTTACCTGTAATCAGGGGGGCTTGCATGCCCCCTAAGGATATATAAGCCGTGGTTAGAAATACACGGTGTCCCCCTGCCTCCTCTTTTCTCCCACTCCACGTGGACCACCAAGAGGGGCTGAGGCGAGCATGTTACCATGAAATGTGTCTGACTCCTTTATTTGATCTTCTCTCCTATTTTCTATGACTGTATTATAATCTTTATATATTATAGCCATACAGTTGCACAACCCACATGGTTGTTAACGGCTGGTTTACTCTAACCGCACCCATCTCTCCTATTGGATGTAGCAATGACCTTTTTGGCTTTTGAGAGCTCTTGAACCCAGTCATGACCCTCAAGAACTAAAGAGTTGGTTCTGAATTCAATATATCCTAAACAATTCAGAATTCTAAATGCCACCTTCCTCTTCCCCCAGCACTCCTCCAGCTGCCTAATCTTAAGGTTGGATAAATAAAGCATGCGCAGCTATAGGCTTTTGACTTACCGTTTGGATTTGCTATAACAAATGCTGTTCAGCCTTCAACCCTTCCCCTAGCCCTTCTCCCTTCTTTGCCTCTATTCTCTACTGCAGTATGAAGAAATTGCGGTGTATATTCTCATGTAATTTGATTTTGGAATTCTGCCACCTTAAGTAGTGAGTTCTTCCAAAATAGTTTTTGTTCCCAATTAAAAAAGAAAAGTTATCAAAGGAAATAATAAAATCCAAATCCACAGGAGGGTACAGTTTCAGAGTTTACATTCTGAACACCCAGTTTGCAGAAGGCTGTGGATGATAGTGGAAGCTTAAAATCCATTTGCAGGGTCCACACATGGATTAAGCCTCTGGTGAATTCCTTTTGATCATAGACCAGGGATGTGAATAGCCTTGCTATTCCGAGTCATGGCACTCAGAGTACAGTGGAAAGTATGTTACTGCAGATGCAATTAGATTAAATAGCACACCAGCCTGTGTGATCATGTGGTGTCCAACGGATCAGGTATCAGGCATCAAAGAACAAAAAATCATATCATTGTGTGCTCATCTCCCAGATACAATCACTGAAGACAAATGGGTGCATAAGCAAATGTGGTGAAGAAAGCTGATGGTGCCTGGCTATCAAAAGATATATCATCTGCGGTCTTAAAGGCTTGAAGGTAAACAAGCAGCCATCTAGCTCAGAAGCAACAAAGCCCACATGAAAGAAGTACACCAGCCTGTGTGATCATGAGTTGTCGATGGGATCAGGGATCAGGCATCAAAGAACAAAAAATCAAATCATTGTGAATGAGGGGGAGTGCAGAGTGGGGACCCAAAACCTATCTGTAGGCAACAGGACATCCCCTTACAGAAGGGTCGCAGGGAGGAAATGCACTAGTCAGGGCGCAATGTAGCAATGATGAAACATACAACTTTCTTTATACAACTTTCTTCTAGTTTCTAAATGCTTCCTCCACCCCCACCCCACCCCCACTATCATGATCCCAGTTCTACCTTACAAATCTGGCTAGACCAGAGGATGTACCCTGGTACCGATAGGAACTGAAAACACAGGGAATCCAGGACAGATGATCGCTTCAGGACCAGTGCTGAGAGTGGCAATACTGGGAAGGTGGGGTAGAAAACGGGAACCGATTACAAGGATCTACATATAACCTTCTCCCTGGGGGATGGACAATAGAAAAGTGGGTTAAGGGAGATGTCGGGCAGTGTAAGATGTGATGAAGTAATAATAATTTGTAAATTATCAAGGGTTCATGAGGAAGAGGAATCAGGGAGGGAGGGGAAAAGATGAGGAGCTGATACCAAGGGCTCAAGCAGAAAGCAAATGTTTTAAGAATGATGATGGCAACAAATGTACAAATGTGCTTGACACAATGGATGGATGTATGGATTGTGATAAAAGTTGTACAAGCCCCCAATAAAATGATTAAAAAATTAAAATTTAAGAATAGATTTTTAAATTTTTAAATAAATAAATAAAACTAACACTTTATCATATAATCTCCCCTTTGATCCATTTAAAATTTGCTCTAGTTTTTAATGCTTTTCTGCTTTCTTTTTGATTGAGGTTTGACTTTGGCATTGTGGTTATTTTGCTTGTTCGTTCTCTTTCTGTATGTTTGTCTGCATACGAAACCCAGAATAGGCAAAGCTAGAGAAACAGTGACTGCATCGCTGGTTTCCTGGAGGGTATTCCAAAGGAGGTTGTGCAGAAAAGTGAAGCTGATCACAATGAGTAGAAGAAGAAAATGTTCTAAAATTGATTATGATGATGATTGCACAACGTCTTTTAATATGATTGAACTATGAATTGTATGATAGATGAATTATATGCCAGTAAGACTGTGAAACAATAAACAGAAAAATAGAAGTTTTCCAAAGAAATACTTACAATATATATGAATATTGATATAACCAAGCAATATATGGCAGCTGTAGGAATCAGGCCAAAACGGCCAGAGCAAGATATCGAGGGTTACTTTGATGAAGAGGTAGTAGTTGAAGTCCTTTGACTGATGAGTGGAAATGGGATAGTAGGTAAGGAAGTGCACACTAAAAAACATACTTTTTTCTCAATGAAAGCTTTTAAAATTTTATTGTGGTACATTTTCCATTATAAGCATTTTTACATTTTAAATATACAACTCAATGATGTTATTCTTAGGCAAATTCTAACTTGATTAAAAGAAAAATAATTTTAAAATCAAAATAGTATAGTAAGCAGAGCACAACTAAGTATTAAGTTAAATGAAGACCGAACAGGACGTTAATTAGCTAAATGGTAGGGAGGAAAAGTAGCAAAAGAGCAATAAAATATAGATTTCAGGGTAGTTAAGACCTATTGATGAGAAAGAAATAATAAAATTCACCAACTCCTGCCTAGGTTCATGCAGTTTTGTCAAATCCAAAATTGCTTCTCAAATCCAATAAAGGAATGGCTATTCTGTCTCCAAAATGATCTCTATAGGTAATGAAATCCACTTTCAACACTCCAACTATTTCTTCTACTTGAACAAATTCTACTTGAATGTTTTTAACCATCTTATAATTTTCCTCTGATTTTTGACTCAAGATTTTATTTTGAAGATTTTACTTTGTGGATTTTAAAGAAATGTCTTAGATCATACATTAAGACAATTAACTTGCTTAAAAGCCTACATCTTATATAAACTATGCAGCACCTAGCAGACTATCTGCATAAATTTAAGGTCAAATGTTTTTGATTTAATATTTCATAATGTTAATTCTCCCCAAACTGATCTACAGATTCATTTCAACCTCAATCTAAATCATAACAGTAATTTGGGGGTGGGGAATAAAAATGCAAACACAAATTTTCAATGGAACAAAATTTACTCTACCATATATCCAGTCTAATTATATGCTATAGTAGCTCGCAGGGAGCCCTGGTGGGGTAGGGTTTACACATTGGTCTGTGACCTAAATGGTGAGCGGTTGAAACCATCAGCAGCAACATGGGAGAAAGCCTGGCTTTCTTTCTCCTCCTGTAAACAGTCAGTCTCAGAAGTCCAAAAGGGGTCACTGTGCGTCCACACTGACTCAATGGCAAAAGTTTGGTGTTGGATAGTAGGCAGTGCGTTAACTGTCAGAAGTACCTCAGGCATTTTAGGTCTGCTAAAGACGAAGATGTTACTTCAGGTGTATTACCAGGCATGGAATATGGGGACAATGCAGCAAGAGAGCATCCACCAGCAAGCAGCATAGAGGAGCCACTGGCAGGGGAAGAGGACAAGAGGACTCAGGAGTGAGGGGCGGGAGGCTTTATGTTTAGAGGCAACATCTCCCAGCAGCAAACTGGGTGTCTCAGAGCGTGCTGAAGGGCGGCAGTGGCCTGGGGTCTTCACAACTACAGTTTATCTTAGCTGTGGCTAGTAGATATTGGGCACATTTTGCAGGCAAAATGGGAAAGCTGTAAATGGCAACAACCAAAAAAAAGCGTATTTGGACTACTTAAAATGAAAACAACTGATGTGTAAAAGTTGGATTTGGTAATGGTGGGCTTCTAAAATAAAATATGTGAATAGAATAATTGCCTTCGATATGAAGAAAAAAGGCACTTGCTATGCTGAACTGTAAGTGGGGGCAAAAAGCAAGAAAGCTCATATGGAAGAAGTCTTGGACCCTTAAGGGTAGCTTCTGGATAATATCTCAGAGGTGGTACTTCCTAAGCATCCTGCTTCCCGCCACACCATCCCTCACTTACCTGAACACAACAAGCCTCTCATCGATTCTGTCAACCTTGTTCTGAAAAGGAGATCACAGCTGGTTAGAGTTGGAGAGTCCTCCTTGCAAGAAAGACATATGACTATGGAAGCCATCCCAGCTATGAGCTCCCTCCCTTGTAGAACAAGGAAAAGAAGCCACGACAGGAAGGACCAGAGAGAGATGGAGGAGAGAAAGGCCTTTGGAGCCACATTGAAGCTGCTCACTAACCACTCGCTCATTCCATTCCAACTCCAACCATCCCTGTGGGAACAGGGACCCAAAATTCAGTTGGTTACTTGAAATAAGCACTTCACAGTGAAAGATGTTCCTGGGGGTATAATCTAAACTGGGGGGGGGGGGGAGGCACAGTTATCCTTACCTGCTGAAATCAGATTGCTGTCATTCTCCTACATTGCTTCTCTGTGCAAATCCATCTGACCAGAGTCCAGGCGTTCCCATTCCTCCAGAAAGAGGCCTATGACCACATCCCCGAACATCATTAACCCCTGAAACAACAAACATGGGTTCACATGGAAGGAGAAAAGAAAAAGATGGTATTAGAGGAGGGGGGGCTCTAAAGAAAATCGAGATGAGTGAGCAAATTAAAGGGGCTGGGATCCTATTATATCAGCAGATGGCTTATCTCTTGTGTACAGAGGACTGTACCTAAAAGTCAGATGAACCAGTAAGCATCCAGCTTAATACCTGGCACATAGTAAATATCTTCTAATAGACAAGCATGTACCTTATTGGGGTTATTCCTAGATATCTACATTTTGGGTAGCTTTAAAAAAGGGGCTTTTACTCCCCAAATCTTCCACATCTGTTGTCTGTATGAACAGAGCCTACTGATTTCTGTATATTGATTTTGCACCTTCCTTGAGTCTCTTACTAATTTCACTAGTTTTGTCTACAAGATGTGCCTGCTGCCTACGTTGTTGAAGAGCCCCCAGATAGAGTTTTAAAAAAAGGTACAAATACAAAATTCTACTGGCTGAGATTAATTTGTAACCCCCCATATCAACAGTTACAATGCTTTCTTCACAGTCATTTATGGATATGTGAGGAACAGCAAAACAATTTTCAGCTGAGGCTGAACAAGGCAATGCTTTTTGCCTTCTCAACTCGTACGCAAGCAAATATCCTTTCCATAGTGAATTTTCACATTTTTTGCGTTTTATTGATCCCACTGCTTTAAAATGACCCCCAAGTATAATGCTAAAGTACTATCTAGTGTTCGTACACACAAGAAGGCTGACAGGTGCTTTACTGAGAAAACATTGTGTATTAGGTAAGCTAACACTATTAGACATGAGTCACTGTTGTTGGCCATCAGTTCAATGCTAAGGAGTCAACAACATAAATATATCGAGTAAAATGTCTTTAAAGGGAAACACACAAAAACAGAGTTATATATGATAAAAATATTGTGGCCAGAGGTTGAGTATTTACTAATTAAGTGATCTAGGTGACTTTATAAAGCATGTGGAGCCCCAGTGGTTCGGTGGGCTATACACACTGAATTGCTAACCACAAAGACAGTGGTTCAAACCCACCAGCCACCCCTCACGAGAAAGATAAAGTTGTCTACTCTCATAAAGATTTAAAGTCTCTGAAACTCAATGAGGAAGTCACTATGAGTCACAATAGAGTAGACTCAACGGCGGTGAGTTTTTTATAAGCTGCAAATGAGAATTGACTCTGTGTTTGTGTACACTTGTGTGTATAAATCATTATATGCCCTTCACATTTGGCAAAAGTTTTAAATCTGACACTACTGATCTCAGTTTGTTATTGAGAAAGTTTCCTTTATAGTATTTATTAAACTTACACATACACTTTATGTATACACTATGCTATATAAGAAAAATAACCACAGCCCCTTCATGCAAATAAATAATAGATATCTTAATTAAAGTTATTTATAAAGGTCATTTGATGATATGGGAGAATATTTATAACACACACCCGCCCCCCCAATAAAGCCATCTTAAGTTGCTAACAAGCATGTGGTTGCTACTACATAAGCTTGAAGGTTACCTGCTTGAATGCTACTTGCCGGAAGATTGTCTGCCTTCAAGGGCAATCAGACCTACTGTCTTTCCCACCCTAAGTAGGCCCCACTCCCTCCTGATAAGGATCAGACTGTTTTCCTGAAGAGCTCAGGGGCACCTAAGGACAGGCCAGCTCAGACTACCAAGGTTAGGCTGCCATTTGACTCTAGAACCCACCCGTCTTGTTACAGATATGCCTTCCTGTCACATGTATGCCTCTAGTACTGTCAGGCAGTCTAGCATAGGCGCTGGGGCATCCATAACGCATGCCCATTGGTCCTAGCTACGGAATCAAAGGAGCGGCACCCTGCACATGCTCAGAAGTTCAGGTTTCCCGCCAGGTACGTGTGGGAGGGCGCTGCACCTGGATTGGCCCACCTAGGCCAGGTGAATTCAATTCAGCCAATGGGGTCGACCAAGGGTCGTCCACCAGGCCTCCCCACCGAATAATTGAAAAGGCAGGAGCATGGATTCGACCATGTGACTCTGCGAGCAGTTTCCAGGCAGGCTGCACGTTCCGGAGGAGTCCTATGGGTGTGTATGAAAACCCGAAGCTTCTTCTAACGCCCATAAAACTCACTTGGATCACAAACCAGGCTTCAGCGTGAATTCTTTCTCATGCGGAGCCAAGGACCGAGATATATCTCCCCCACTGAGAGATCTAACAGTACCTCCCCTTCCTATTTTTTGTATACCCCTAGCTGGTCCCCATCATGTATGTGTATCCCTCTAATTATTAGAGTCTAATACAACCCCTTCCTGTTAAGTACGTGGTTACTGTGACTTGCATGCCTGAGATTATATAAGGCTGTGAGAGAATTCATTATTCCCTCATTCTGGTTCCAGTCTCCATCAGAATGGGTGAGCTCTTGCATCTCTTTAATGTACCCCTCAATACACAACTGTCCCCTAAGGGCCCATCTGGATGTGGGACTGAACCCCACAAAAAAGGTGTGCTATAAAACAGTGGTGCTTAATTTGATTTTTGAAAAATGGAAACAAATGGCCATTAACAGTTAAATTTTATCTATTTTTTCCATGGCAAGTCTGTATTTTCAAAATTTCTAAAATCATGTTTTTCTTTGAAAATTATTGTATTTGAGAAGACAAGAACTCTATACAGTGAAGTGTGGCCATTTTCTAAATAAATGAATATTTTAAGGACTTAAAATCAAATGAGGCGTTCCTGGGTGGAACAAATGATTTAAGTGCTCAGCTATTAATTAGAAGGTTGACAGACTGAATCCACTGGGAGGCACTGTGGAAGAAAGGGTGGGTGATCTACTTCCAAAAGAATATGGGTACTAAAAACCCTATGGAATACAACTCTCCTCTCAAACACTGGGCTTATTAAGAGTCAAAACTGATGCCACAATAGTTTTGGTTATAATTAAATTACTCATCCTTATTAAGCAAGAATTTTCAGAAGAAAGAGTAGAGTCAAAATCTAACACACCTTGGACACTGTTTCTAATGCATTCATGGTGCATTCTTTCCCTCTCCTTCTGGGCACCTTACTTAGAGAAGGGTAGGACTAGGGGAGAAGAAAATTCTTGTGTTTTTCTTGGTATCCAAATGGGTCTGGTCAGCGATAATCCCAGCCCTGCCCCTATCACTGCCCCAACACCTGGAAAGAAGATCATAGGACCATTAAGCATCCTGACCAAATCCCAGCATCTTAGGGTCAGGATGAGGTCACTGCTAGTCAGAACAAGAATTGGATCCCATCTTCAAAACTAGAGGTCTTTAGTAAGAATCGCACAGTTGACAGAATCTCCACCAAATCAAAATCAAGCCCGTTGCCCAATGAGTAGATTCCAACTCACAGCAAGTGTGGGATGAAACAGGCCTTTTCCCTAGCTCGTCTCCCCCAAATATATGTGAGACCTAGGAACACACTTAGAAGCAAGCTGCTTAGAAGTTATCTCCCTGAAAAAAAAAAAAAAAAAAAAAGAAGTTATCTCCCTGAAGGCATCAGCCATCCAGAGCAATTAGACAATATTGTTTATCCCACCTTAGGTGGGGCTCACACCCTGCTGAGGAGGACAATGATTGTTTCCCTGGAGAGTCCAGAGAAAAGTCCAAGCCCATTCAAGGATGACCAAGGTTAGGCTGCCATCTTGAATCTAGAATCGGCCCATCTTGTCACATGTGTACCCCTAATCCTTCCCCTTCCTATTGCATGTACACCCCTAGATCATCCCCTTCCCATTCCTGTACTGCCTTTCATGCAATCCCTTCCTGTGACATATGTGGTTACCTGTAACCAGGACGGCATGCACGCTCCTAAGTATACATAAGCCCTGGTCAGAAATATATTACCTCTCTCCTCCTGCTCTCTGCTGGAACTTGGCAGTTGAGATCATGGCTGTCCATGAGGTAAGCATGCTACCATAAAATGTGTGTGACTCCTTTATTTTACCTTCTCTCCTATCTTCTATGACTTTACTATGATCTTGGTATATTATAGCCGTACAATTGCGCCTGTGGACCTCCCACAATGGTCAAAGGTTGGTTACTCTGACAAGCAAGCCTCTGAGACAGAGTGCAATTGCTCCATAGGAATTCCATGGCTGCACATCTGTACAAGAGCCCACCTTTCTCCCACGGAATGGCTGGAGTGGCGGGGTGTGTCAAACTACTGACCTTTCTGTTAGCAGCCGTGCACTTTAACCTCTGTGCCACATATAGGTCAGGTCAGACATTAACTAAGGAACACATATACCCACAACCACACATGGTCAATAGCAACCACACACCCTCCATAGGGCACACTGAGTTACAACTCCATAGTCTCAGGCACTCCTCAATGTCGCAATCATACACTCAAGCGATCTCCTGTGGGTTTCCGAAATTGTAACTATTTACGGGAATTGAAAGCCCAGTTTTTCTCCCCTGGAGCTGCTGGTGGTCTTGAACTGCCAACCACGATGATCGCAGGCCAATCCATCACCAATGCACCACCAGGGCTCGGCTAGTGCCCTCAGGGACCATAAAAACTAGTTTCTTATCAATATCTCCTATCAATACATGACAGCGGTGTCAACAATCTCCCACAGTGTCTGCCGACACCATCTCACCACCTCCTCTTTTTCAGGCCGCTCGGCCAGCCGGCACAGGTTCGAGACCCCACGCCCCAGCCCCGCCCCACCCCCGGGGCTCCTCACCTCAGGTCTTTCAGGTCGGACCCTGCAGAGGTGAACGGTCCCCTCGGGAGCCCATCGGATCTGTCGCCTTTAGAATCAAACCGTCCTGTCAGGCTTCCTACGAACAGAGGCCGCCACGTGGTCCTGGGAAACGTGGTGCACAGCGAGGCCCCCGTTGACCAATGGCGTGCGTGCGTGCGGCCAATAGGGCCCACCCCCAACGGCGTCTCGGCGCCACTTGGCGTCACATCCGGTCTGAGTTTACCTTCCGCGCGCGGGAAAGCGGACCTCCTTCGCGGACTTCCCCTGTCCGCACGGGTCCCCTCCCGACCGGAAGTCGAATCTAGCCGCGAGTCCTTCTGGGAGATGTGGTTCCAGGCTGCGCTCTCTGCCGGGCGAGCAGCGGCGGTGCGGCACCCACCGATCGCCGTCTTCACCCACCTCCCGGAGGCCGCGGGCCGCTTCCCGCCGGGGCCGGCCGCGTTCCCGCCGCGCGGGGAGAAGGGCGCCTGAGGTGGGGCCCCTGCAGTGGGGCGCCGCGGGCGGAACACGGAGCGAAGGCTCGAGAGAGGAACGGCTGTAGGGAACCCGGCGGAGCAGGAGGGGTGTCAGTGTGAGCGTCCCTGCTTGAAGAGTGATGGGAGTTGTCGGAGCAAGAAACTGGAGGGAGGGAGGGAGGGAGGGAGAGAGAGAGAGAGAGTTGTGTGTGTTGTGTGTGTGTGTGTGTGTGTGTGTGTGACAGACAGACAGAGACCAGACCGTGAGACAGACTGATCTGGCATATGTGATTGTGGTGATATGTATGAATAGTTGTTCCAGGTGATAATGGTGTGTGTGTGTGTGTGAGAGAGAGAGAGAGAGAGAGACAGACAGACAGACAGAGACCAGATATGTATGAATAGTTGTTCCAGGTGATAATGGTGTGTGTGTGGTGTGTATGTGTGTGTGTGTGTGTGAGAGAGAGAGAGAGAGAGAGAGAGACAGACAGACAGACAGACAGAGACCAGACCGGTCGTGAGACAGATTGATCTGGCATATGTGATTGTGGTGATATGTATAATTAGTTGTTCCAGATGAGAATGGTGTGTGTGTGTGTGTGTGTGTGTGTGTGTGTGAGAGAGAGACAGAGACTGATAGACTGGGACCAGACCATGAGACAGACTGATCTGGCATATGTGATTGTGATATGTATGATTAGTTGTTCCAGATGAGAATGGGGTGTGTATGTGTGCATGTTAAAGAGATGGTTACCATGATGGCGTGAATACTTGTGATGGTTTGAGAGGTCGCGATATATGTAATTGGATGTGTAGGATAGCGTGAGTAATCATGAGTGTGGGTGATGATAAGTGTATTTGGACTTACACTTATCAATCATATGGTCATGAAACGTGTGGTAGCATGTGCCAGAGAGAAAGAACGCCAGAGCTTGGGGAGATAGGTTGTGATGATCCTATATGGGGTTCATCGCTGTAGCATTTGACCTTGTTGGTAAACTCTTCTAAAGCATTTCTGTATTTGCTGCCTCGTGGTTCTCCTTCCCTGTTACCCACTCCATTTTAGTCTTCTCGCCAGGCTCATTGTTATCTCATTATCTTACAGCTTGTATTCTTTATAGGATGAGTTGAGATATGCGCCTCGTGTGTCACTCCTGGGGCCCAGGCTTAAAGGGACAGTGGTTGCTCCGGCATGAGCTTCTCATGGTGGATCACCAAAGCACAGGAGCACAAAACAGAACTTGCACATGTCCTTAGAATCTCTGCCCCTCATATTCTATTGGCCCAAACACATCATGTGTCTAAGTTGAACATCACTAAGTGGGACACTGCTACATTCACAGTAGGAAGGCAGGGTCAAATTACATGGCAGAGTATGAATTTATGTTAATTAGGGGTGAGCCTGGAGTGCTGGTGGTGGTGTGGGCTGCTAACCAAAAGGTGGGAAATTCAAACAAGTCACTGCTGAAAAATGATAACGCCGTTCCAATAAAGATTTGTCTCTGAAACCCTATATAGGGTCATTATCAAAACTCATTGCCATCAAGTCAATGCTGGCTCATAGTGACTCTAGACCAGGTAGAGCTGCCTCTATGAATTGCCAAGACTGTTTTGTTTGTTTTGTAAATCATTTTATTGGGAGCTCATACAACTCTTATCATAGTCCATCCATCCATTGTGTCAAGCACATTTGTACATTTGTTGCCCTCATTTTCTTTCTCAAAACATTTGCTTTTTACTTGAGCCATTGGTATCAGCTCCTCATTTTTCCCCTCCCTCATGAACCCATGGTAATTTATAGATTATTATTATTTTTCCATGCCTTACACCGTCCGATGTCTCCCTTTACCCACTTTTCTGTTGTCCGTCCCCCAGGGAGGATTATTGTGATCCGTTTCCCCCCTTCCCCCACCTTTCCCTTACCCCCCTGGTAACTACTCTAGGGGTTTATCTGTCCTGGATTCCCTGTGTTTCCAGTTCCTATCTGTACCAGTATACATCCTCTGGATTTGTAAGGTAGAATTGGGATCATGATAGTGGGGCCGGGGGGAGGGGAAGCATTAAAGAAATAGAGGAAAGTTGTATGTTCACTGGTGGTTTACTGCACCCTGACTATTAATAAGAGTCAAAAACCCAGTCTTTCTCCCATAGAGTATCACTGTGGGAAATTAACTCAATGGCAGAAGGTTTGAATTTGCGTTTTTATCATTGAAATCCATTTGTGGCAGTGGAATTAGAATTGGAAAACTGGAACCAGTATTCCAATAAACCACTTTAAGAAACATACCAGTTCATCTGGTAATTGTATCTCACTGTTCTTTCTCCACCAGTATTATTACTTATCAGGTTTGTTGGTACTACATTTGGCAAAAATTTACTTTTTCAACTTCTTTTCTTTTTGCTTGTTTTAGGTTTGTTTTCTGTAAAGAGTATAGTGCTGGACTGTTTACCTTTCTTCCTGTTTGACTGGTATTATAATTGGTGAGTGTACTTCAATTACATTTATTGTGATTCTTGATATGCATTAACTTGTGTTTTTCCTTATGTTCAGTCATGCCTTTTTTAAATTGTACAGGTTTAGCTTATCCCTTTTACCCTTTCAACTTGTTTCTATGTTACTAATTCAATTCCTTTTGTTATGTTTTAATTTTTAATATGCATAGAATTTTCATATGCATACTAAAGAAACCCATACCCAAATAAGCCTTTAGGATACTTTAATACCAAACTATCTACTTGTATCTGCTATATTACTTCAAATTTTTAATACCTGAAAAGTAATTCTGTGGGTTTCTACTCCCATAAAGAGTTACAGTTTTGAAAACTCACAGAAATTTCTACCTTGTCTTATAGGATCACTATGCCCTATAGTTCTACCCTATCCTACAGGATCATTATGTCCTATAGATCTAGAATGGAGTCAATGGCAGTGAGTTGAGAAATTAGTAAATAGTTCATTTGTTAAACATATATAATTTTCGAGAGCCTAGTGAAAGGCACCTTCCTAGAGGTGTGTTAGATCGCTAAGTACAGTGTCAGCAGGTAGAACCCAGCAGGGACTCAGCAGGAGAAATATATGGCTGCCAGCTCCCATGAAGATTTATAGTCTTGGAAACCCTAAGAAGGCTCTGTCACTGTGAATCCACTCAATGGTAGTGAGTTTGTTTGTTTGTTTGTTTCTTTGAGTTTTCTATTAGTAGAGACAAAGAATCCCAGTTTTCATGACGTTTACATGGGGGAAGGATGACAGACCATATAAGGGGACATCAAAAAATTTGTGTAAATTTTCCATTACTTTTAATTCCATTTTTTTCCATGAAAAGTTTGAAACTCCCTCATATATATATGATAAGTACATTACATATTTAGTAGTTAGAAGGTGATCATTATTTTAAAACCTAGGTGTATAACCCAATTTTAATGCCTAAATTAGTAAATTCTGAGAAAGACAAGGCTTTCTATTCCCATAAAGAGTAGAGTAGGACTTCTCCAATTGTATTATAATTTAATGTTTTATTATTTCTGTACTGCTCTATAGGGCAAGCATTAGTCTACTTTTTGGAGTGATGGTTTATCTTTCACATAGTAAAGCCTTTTAAACATAAAAACAACAAACAACACCAAATGTCATTGAGTCAATTCCAATCCCTATTAGTCCCTTGTGCTTTAGAGTAGGACTGTATGTACTCCATAGGGTTTTCAGGATCCATGATCAGAAATAGATCACTAAGCCTTTTTTTTTCAGTGCACCTCTGAATGGATTTGAATATCAGCCTTGTGATGTACTATATTGCATCTTGGCTGGCTCATCCTTTCCTTGTGACCCTTCTGAGGGGTTGTCCAATTGTCTTCAGATGGGCTTTGGGTCTCTACTCCCCCCCCCCCCCCACCCCCCGCTCCTCCCCCCTCATTCTCATTGATATAATTGTTTGCTTTGAGTTTTCTGATGCCTGATACCTGATACTGTCAATACCTCATGATCACACAGGCTGGTGTGCTTCTTCCAAGTTAGCTTTGTTGCTTCTCAGCTAGATGGCTGCTTTTTTATCTTCAAGCCTTTAAGATCCCAGATACTATATCTTTTGATAGCTGGGCACCATTTGCTTATGCACCCATTTTGTCATCAGTGATCTTGTCCTGAAGGTGTGTTAGTCTGGGTACATTAGAGAAACAAATCCACACACAGTCATCTGTATAAGTAAGAGTTTTATATAAAGGGTGAGTGCACATCAAGAAAACATCCCAACCCAGTGCTGCCCAAGCCCACAAGTCCACCATTAGCCCATATATCTGACACCAATCTACAGAGTCCTCCTCCATCTCACAAAACACACACTATGACACTAGCCGTAGGAGGAAAGCCGAGTTGGTGAATATGTTAGCATCGCAGCACTGGCAGGAGTCTCCACACAGCTGCTCCAGCACCCAGGGCTGCATCAGGGTAGGTCCATGTGGCTTCTCAGGGATGTCTTGTAGGAAGCGAGCCTTGCCAGCTGAAGCAGGGAACTGGCTAAGGCAGCTGCACCCTGGTCTGACCATCACAAAACAAGAGACCCGAGCACTAGAAAGGCAAGGCTCACCGAGCCATTTTTCTCTCCACCCTTCAATTA